CTGGAGAAACAAGTCCCTTCACAATAGAATCCAAAAAACTGAAATACCTAGGAATAAACCCTAGATATCTACTCTGAAAAGCATAGCACTCTGAAAAAGGATATTGAAGAGGATATCTGAAAATAGAAAGACTTCACTTGCTCCTGGCTAGGAAGTAGCAACATAGTAAAAATGGCAATATTTCCCAAACTGTCATACAGATTCAATGCCATCCCAATTGAAATTCCAGCAGCAAACTTCACAGACCTTTAGAAAATAATTAAAAAAAAAAATTTGTATCAAGAAGAATCCTAGAATAGCAAAAGCAATTGTAGGCAACAAAAGAAAGGAAGGGAGTATCACAATCCCTAACTTGAAACTATACTACAAAGCTACTGTGATAAAAACAGCATGGTACTGGCAAAGAAACAGTCCTGAGTACAAGTGGAACATATTAGAAGTTGCAGAAACAACTCCAGACTTAGTCAACCACCTCAAAGGACCCAAACATCCTCACTGGAGGAAATATAGCCTCTTTAATAAATGTTGTTAGAAAAACTGGGTTTGTACTTGCCAAAAATTAAAACTAGATGTATATCTCTCATAATGAAAGAAAAAAATTGAAATGGATTAAAGACCTAAATATTAAAACACTAAACTGGCTAGAAGAGAGGTTTGGAAGAATTCTTGAAGACATTGGTATAGAAAAAAATTTCATGTATAAAACCACATGTGCAGGTTAACTATCATAAAGAATAAGCAAATAGAATTTCCTCTTATTAAAAAGCTTCTTTACAGAAGGAGAAACCACCAACAGTGTGAAAAGACAACCCATAATGTGGGAGAAAAGTTTTACCAGCTGTTCCTTCAACAAAGGGCTACCATCTAGAATATACATAGAACTTAAAAAAAATCATACCTCCAAAATTTAAAGAACTAATCCAAAAATGGGCATCTGAAGTTAACAGACATTTCTCAGGCAAAGAAGTAGGAATGGCAAATAAACATATGAAAAATTGATCAACATCACTGGTCATATGAGAGATGTAAATGAAAATAATGCTGATATTCCACCTCATCCTAGAAAGAATGGCTACTATCTGGCAATCAACCAATAACAAATGCTGGTGGGGCTGTGGGGAACAAGAAACCTTTCTCCATTATGGGTGGGAGTGTTTACTGGTACAACCACTCTGGAAATCAGTATGGAAGTAGCTGGGATTAGAGGTTCCACTTGAACCAGCTATTCCCCTGGAATAGCTTATTATTATTTATTATTTATTCTCAGAATAAATAAATGAATCATACCACAGTGATACATGTGCACCCATGTTCATAGAAGCACAGTTTGTAACAGCTAAACTTGGAAACAGTTCAATTGCCCATCAACTGTAAAGTGGATGAAGAAAATGTTTTTTTTTATAACATGGAGTACACTCAGCCATAAAAAATGAGAATTAGAGACATTCATAGCTAAATGGATGTACATTGAGGCAATACAATTATTAGGATATTATTAATTAGGATATAAATAGGACACACGTGTAAATACAGAATAGTTTCTCTGGTGTGAGAAAGTGAATGTGAAAGTAAGGATCGAAATGTATAACAGACAATGTGAAATAGGAAGAAAAGTTGCAAATGGTCAGGGTAAGTGGGAGTGGTAGGGGAGATGAAAGTAGGGAATGGAATTAATATAAGAAATGAAAATAGGGAAATAAAGTCTTTGTAAATATAGAGGGGTAGAGAGATTAAAGGGAGGGCAGAGAATGGAGGAAGAAAAAGAAGCAAGATACATTATGTAATGATACAATTCTCCAATGATGAATTTTATTATATTGTATACCTAAAATGTAAAACTAAAATTAATTTAAAAGTAAAGAAAGAGCTTCACTTTTAAAAACTGTTCTGTCACATTTACACATGGGGGTACAGCTTCTAAAAGTGCTAGCTTATTTAACACTATCTCTGTCCTGTGATCTTAGAAGGCTCACACTTTTCAAGTCCCCTCTGATCATAGAACTAGAAGATTAAGGTTTCAGTCTCACTGTGGGAGAAAGGTATAAAATTTGGGGCACTTGATTTGTGGATACTCCTTCCAGGAGTAATTTATAGACTTACAGTTTTCACTAGATTGTGAGGTGGGAGATGGCTTCAGAAATGCCAGTATGTTTTACAGATTGCTGCTGGGTTAATATTGTTTTGCCCCTCTAGCTTCCCATTATAAGTTAGTTAGAAGCTAGGCTCCAAGTAGCTACTTGAGGAATATTTAATAAAACTCTTCTAGAGCAAAATAGGGAAGTGTTTTCTTTCATTGTTCCCAGGAGATGAGAAACCTGGAATAGCTGTGTACCTGCAAACAATTGCCACTATTTCTTGTATGATTGAATCCTGCATGCCTAATTCCCATTGTTTCCATACCTGGGGAAATCTGAGTCAAAGCATGGGGAAACCTTAACATTATGTAACTACATATGGCTCAAAGCCTCCTATGCACAGGAAGGCACTGAGTGTTAAGGATCCTTTCCTAATTTGTAGTGCAGAACTCAGGGGAGGTTCTGGCCTTAGTGTGTCTCAGTTTTTGCTACCCTTTCAATATATATGTTTTTTCTATTACCCATTGGTTAAGAATCACTAAAGATATTTGATTTTTCTCTGAGACAATTGATCCATGGCTACAGATTCATGTTATGACTATGGGTAGAGAGAGTCAGGATCCTCCTATACAACTATGTTTCTGATTTTCTCCTGGAATTTATACTTTTAATTTACAAAAGCAAAAGAAGACTGACTTTGGACTTTAAGCTTAATACAATTAAACTTTCAAGTGTATTTTATCTCTATAATTTAATTTGTCTTCAGAATTATTTTTAATAGAAAGAAGTTTTTTGTGAATATGTGTTCTTGTTTAAAATGTTGGGCATTTTCTTGATATTGCTATGATCTATATACAATTGTTGACATGATGTGTCATTATATCCCATTCTAGGTACTCTCCCTAATAGCATTATTGAATAACATAAACATAAGTAGAAATAAATCAAAATAATAAATATTTCAGTTTGTAATAAATACTATTTGACCCATTTCATTATCCTTTGGCAGCAAAAGTGAAAATTGCTCTCCAGTAGTTCCTGTAAACAAAAGTTCATATCAGTAATGAGATTTATGAAAGCAAACCAAAAAAATCTGCTATACTCATAACCTTTCCTAAAGATGGATAAGCAAATCTCAAATTGGCTTGTAACAAGAATGGTTAAGCTTAATGGGTTAGGACAAAAATCAGAGAATATGTCTATAATTTTAAATATATAAATTTAGTGGTATAAAATTTATATTATTTTAAAGCAATAATCAGTGGCATAAAATTTATATTATTCTAAAGAAATATCCACTGGATGTTAAGATTTGAATCAAATGTACTCCCAAATCCTTAGGTGTTTGAGGGTTATTGGATCATGAGTGTACCATACTAATCATTGTATTTATCTACTGATGAATTCTGTATTTGAATGTCTGTGAGGAAGTGGGGTCTGGTTCAAAGTGGGTCACTGGATGTGTGATTTGGATCAGTACATTGTTGTTCAAGGCTCACCCTTCTCTTTGTACTGTCTGGCTGCCATGGGTCGAACACCTTTTCTGCTATCATGCCCACTGCCATCCTGCTTCCAATTTGGAGCAAGCCAACCATCAACTGAACTGTGAGCCAAAATAAACCCTTTTTCCTCTATATTGTGGATGTTGGTTATTGTGTCCCATTGATGGCAAAGTGACTAGAACATTGGGCCAAGCTACTAAAACCAATTATAAATGAACATGTTGATCAGCAGAATTTCTATGTTCTCTTTGGAAGCAAAGAAAATCTGTCCAGGCTCACTTTAATTAAACAAGCACATTACCTTGTCTCACAAATCATTTATCCTCAAATTGCTATCCAGACTCACTTTTGTTAAAACAGTCTTTCATGATGTGGTAAATGATAATGTCAGAATTTGCATATTAACAGTCTTGAATTTGAAATGCAAGAGCAAAACTGATGTTAACAAAACTAAGAGATTAATTGCTATGTGGCACTAGGAATTTTTTTTATAAAGACAATAACAAACTCTTTAGGTTATAGTCATAATCATTGATTGTAAAATTCTTCCATAATCTTTTCTTTCTTGGCAAATCCACACATCTCTTACATGAATATTCCTTAAATAAATTCAGCATTTTAACTATAGTATCACAAGATCCTGAAACAGAGGATTTGGGTTCAAGAAGATTACTGGGGAAATGATCTTGAGATAGCAACCTATGATGATAATGAACAGAGCTGAAATGGACAGTGAGTGACTGTTTAGCTTTCATGCAGTCACAACAGCAGACTCAGGTGGGCTTGGTACTTATGAATGTCATTGACCACTCAGCAGATTGAGGCTACCTCTGGGAAAGGAAATGACCTGGAGCAAAGAGGCTCACTTCAAAGAAAGTAGAAAAATTACACACTTCAAAGAAACTAGAAAAGTGGCACACAGTAGAAAAACGACACACTGAATTAGACCAAGAAATTTAGTGAGCATGCACATTTAAGATTTTAATGAACTATGTTCAAAACAATGAAATGTCTGTTGGGAATGTCAAACAAGTCCCAAGTGGATTTAGAAATAAGTTAGTAATTGGTGCATGCTTAAAAGCTTGAACACTTCATTTTCTCCATAGCATATGTTGTAGTGTCTAAGATAGAATATGTTCATATCAACAGTATAAGAATTATGCATATGATTCAGCAGTTGCAGCATTTTATGAATAATTCTTGTGGCATTTTCAGATAAACAGATCGGACAAATTTCTGTTTGATTTTTTGTTATTGTCTCTTAAGAGTGAATCTTAGAAGATATCTGATTATTTAATCTTGGAAAATTTACAATTATATCAGAGCATTTTTGAATGATTTTTTTAGTACAAGGGATGTCTTTTATTGCATAACTCTTAGCTGGAGCTGTGGATTTATAAGAATGATAGACACTATTAACATGCTACTGTTGAGATTCTTGCTTTTTAATAATAGGCAGAAAATATTGTTCGAGTTTGAGAATGTGACCAATTGCTTTTTTTACTTCATTGGGGAGTCCAGTCACAGTGATATTTGCATTAGAGGTCCCTTTGGGAGGGAAATGAATGTCTACTCTGAACTGTTCCATAATTTTCTGAATAGATTTTCCATTTACTCCAATAATACGGCTGTGAACACGAGGGTTTAGTGAGATACATTTAGTAACTTTTTTTTCATTTTTACACACTAGTTTCATTATTGCATCTTGGGCAGCTAAAGTGTCATTTTTATGTCCTGTGATGATGATTTGATCTTGTATCAAATTGCTTTCTTTATTTGGAAAATGGATAGAAACATTATATTGCAAGCAAATCTGAGAAACAATTTTACCCTTATAACCAATGATCTTCGAATGATATTTGGGGTCTATAGTCACCATTAGTTTAAAATTTCTTAATGTCCGATCTTCTATTTCAGTGTGTAAAGTATTGACTATTTCTTGCAATTTAGCTTTGGCTTGCTCCACTTTTTCAGCAGGCCCCTTAATGAATATTATATCAGAGTTTACTCCAGGTCTTGATACCTGTATTTTAACATCAAATTCATTGGTTATCTTGCTTATTCTACTTCCTTTCTGACCAACAATATGACGGTGTAGAGAAGAGGGCACCTGAACTACAGCAGTTATTGGAATTAAAGATTCAATAGCTTTCATGGCTGCTTCACACTTTTCTTTTCTGCCTGAGATTAATATAATATCACATTCCTTAGGGGAAATTGAAGCAAGTTTATAGTCGGTGTTTTCCACTATTTCTTTCCCAATTTCCTGAACACTTGGATCAATAGTGACAGCTGAATTCTCCTCTCTGTCAGGGAATTTTATTTGAACATTATAATCTCTAGTAATTTGTTGGATTTGGGAGCACATAGGTCCCATTAAAAAACTATGAAACTTCTGGGGAATAACACATTCGATTGTAACTTTGGCTTCCATGTCACCGATAATCTCCTCAATGTGTTTCTTTGCTGCTTCTACACAAGGTTTTGCTCCTTTTAGTGTGACTCTTTTGTTAGATTCTCCTAAACGTGGGAATCTTATTATGACACCACCATATTCTGCAGTAATTTCTTGTAAAACCCGAGCTCTTTGTGTAGTAAAATAATGGTGGTATTTTGGATTTATAAGCATATTATCCTCTATGTCATTTTGAAGGTCTTCAATTAAAGCCTCAAGTTCCATTTGTGCATCATTGACAGCTTTCTCTGTCCCTGTAATATTTATCCATTCTTGATCTCTATCCTCACGTGTAGGGAAAGTGATATGTGCTCCAGTCTCATTACAGATTTTGGAAATATTTCCATAAGTTTTATTCAAGAGGAATTGGTGATACTGTGGCTTGACATGGAGGGCCACAGAATGAATCTTAGATTGCTTTTCTTCTTCTAGTAGTAGCAGCATTTTTTTTGCCTTTTCAACACCTTCAGCAGGGCCTCTTATAATGACTTTTTGAAGGCCTGAGTCATTTTTTGGAAAAGTAATATGAATCTTTCCACATTCACTCATGACTGAGCCAATCAAACACTCTTTGGGATCAACAAGAGATTTATGTAGATCAGAAGAAATAGAAATTTCAGCTTCAGAAATATTGGCTATCTCTTTTTGAATTGAAAGAATCATTTTATGAGCTATTTCACAATTTTCTGGCTTTCCAAAGATGACAATATTCTCTGAATTGCTGCTTGCCGTTGGAAAACTAATCCTGGTATTGCTCGCTAAACAGATTTTTTTGATGTTTTCACCTCCTTTTCCAATGATAAGTTTGTGAAGGTGTTTGAATAGGGGGACAGTAATTGCATAGCTGCTTTCTAAAATAGCTGTCACTACATTTTCCAAATACTCTGTGCATTTTTCTAATTCGTGTTTTGGTCCTCTAAGTTGAATGATATCACTTTTTTCTCCTGGGTTTGGAAAATGTATTATGACATTTGGGAAATTCTGTCGGATGTTATAAATCCGTTCAACTATCCTTCCAATAACTTTGTGGTGATATTTTTGTTCAATGATTAAGTCTTTGGTGTGCTCTTTTTCTAAAATAGCAGCAAGTTCAAGAACTTCTCTCTGAGCTTGTTGAACATTCAAGAATTCTCCTTCAATTCTCATCAAATTATTATTTTCTTTGTCAGGTAAGATTAACAAATAAACATCATTCTTCTCCTTAATTCTGTTTATTACAGTACCATTATTCTCTACCAGATACTTGTAAAATGTATAGTTAATATAGAATTCTGCATAATCCATTCTGCTAAACAGATCTTTCACTATCATGTCAATTTGTTCTTGAGCATAATTTACATCATCTTTTGGTCCTTTTATAATAATTTTATCTTCTGCAGTAAAATCTATTTGAACATTTGGTACTACTTGAGTTATCTTGGATATACGCTGACCTTTCTTCCCAAAAATAAATTTGTGAAGCCAGGAAGGGGCCCAAACAGTGGAAAAAATGTAGTACCTGCGATTCCAATAAGTTCCAGTAAATATCTCCCTTGAATTTTCAGGCTCAACTTGATGTGTTACATAATCTGATATGTTTTCTGTACATGAGATTTCTCCTCTTCTTTCTATAATTTTTTGTGCCAAATTATAATCAGGACATGTAGTGAAATTGTAATTCAAATTCATCTCTACATCTTCATCTGTAGTTTTCTCATTGGTATTTTCAAATATTGCTTTTACATAAGGTTCAGTGTGATCCACTTGAGGATTTTTTCTATTAAAAAGCATTTCTATTTCATTAGTACTAAATTGTAAAATACGGTTGTTTGTCACTGTTTCCTGTGTGATGCTGTTAATAGTTTTACTGTTTGATCCAGCAGTCAGGGAATGATATTCTTTTTTCTTATTTAATGTTTCTCTAATACATTTATATTGTTCAGTAGACATAAGTAAATCTTCATATGGATAGATTTTCATGACTTCATTTGTGCCAACACTATTAATACAGATTTTCTGACTATAAGGGTTTAATGTGTAAGCGTCCAATACATCATTTTGTTCTAAGTGCTTCGTTGTATTGCTAGTATTGCATATAGCAAGACAGTGCTGTTTTGGAGGCATGGGATTTGTAATGAAACCATATTTTTGAAGCCATGCAAAAATTTCCTTCTGAGCTTTTATAACAGTTTCTGAATTTCCAGACACTGTTATGTAAAGTCCTTGATCCTCGATAAAATTTAATTTTAGGTTGGCACCAGTTTGCTCTGTAATGTCTAGATGAAATTTTTGTCTATCTTCACCAAACTGAATGAAATACTTCTCATCTTCCAGAGGTATATGAAGCACTCGAGTGATAACTGAAGTTTTATTGTCTAAGGATTCTATAGGTTCCACAGGCTTTTCTAACCAATTTGCTTTCTCTAGATGTTCAGTAAATTTGTCCATGTCAGTGGGAATGCAAAGCTCCTTCTCTGAATTTAGAGTGACAGCATGGTTTTCTTTTTGTATATATCTAATTTTGCACTCAATCAAATTTTCTTTGGAAGTCATTGTTGGTTTTCAAGTGGATGAAATCGAGATTTGTTCAGCACCCAGAAAATTCCTCTTGTAGCTTCTGTTTTGCATAATACTATATGGGAAACATGAGTATTTTAACTATGTAATTCTTTTCCTAGTTAAATTGTAAACTCAATATAATAAAAGTATACTCTTATATTCATTAAACTTGATAAATATTCAAAAGTTCATCTATTCTATTCTTACATGAGTACAGAATTGGACTCAAATTATAAAGACTATGAGAAAACAGCCATCATTTTGCTAAATGTAAAATTTAAATCCTTTCATTATTTATATCACAAGTGATGCTCATTTTCTAGATCCACTGTTGTCACTTTTTGACCATTACAAACTTCTGAAGTTATTAGCTGCAAGTTATTTGGAAAAACATATAATTCATTCACATGTAAGAATATCTCCTGTATTTATCTGAATTTGTTATTTTTCTTAACAGATTTACTGAATAATAACATTAATTTACAGAAATTGTGTGTAAATTGCAATGATGTTTAGTAAATTTAGATGTCTGGATAACTGTTACAACTCAATATTCAAATATTTCCATGACCCAAAGATATCCCTCATGCTCAGATGCAGGCAAACTATCTCTTTCATCACCCTCAGACAATATCAACTTAATTTTTTCACTATAGTCTTGTCTGATTGAGACATTTCATTTAAAAAATTCAAATAGTTTGCTGAGTCATTTGCATCTTAATTATTCAGCATATGTTTTTGAGGCTCCACTATGTTATAGTATATATCAGTAACATGTTCTTTTTTATTGCTGAATAATGTTCTATTTCTATTTACTTAATGATTGTTCTGATTCAATCTCCTTTCCAGGGTCCAAATTCTCTAATAAAATTCTGCATATTAATGTACTACAGGCTGCCTTTAAGACCATTTTTTCTACCATCTTCATCTATGTGGTATGGTTTAGATGTATAACATTGAATAACATTAATACACAGACACTTCTCAAATCTATAACTTCAGTTCTTAGATGCAATGTGTATACAAATAAGCCCTCTCAGTATCAGTGGAGTGCCTAAAAATCCTTTCAAGTATGTTTCCTTCAATAAACTCTTGATTATATTCCTAGATTTTCTCCTCTTGGAATATATTAGAATTTTATAAAAGTTACTTGACCTTCCTTCTATTGCTTAATCCAAGTACTTGTTGTCATCTTTTGTTTTGGCATTTCAAGTAAAATTCAAAACAGGAATACATCTGTTTCTCTATGTCTAAACTTTTCTCCTAGATGTCATTCTACTTTCTTAGTTTAAACTGACACATTATTGCAGTCATAAACATCATAATGCTCCACCTATTCTTACTTTGGCCTTCAATGGCTTATTCTCCACAAAGCATCTAGACACAGTTTTACAAAGCAGAATAAAGTATACGCATCTCCTTAAAAGTTTCTAGTGGATTCTATTTATAAGTAATATAAAGTTAATGCTGTAAAATTAAAATGTATGAAATATATAATATTTGGCTATTTTAATTTGACCAAAAACTTTCTTTGACTTACTAGATTGTTAAACTACTTGTCCAAAAATGTATTATTATTTCAGGTTCCACAATGCAAATTACCTTTCAGAAACTACTATTTGCTGAATTCTGTGTTGTATCAAAGAACACTATCTACAGTTATTTAAAGAGTATTTAAGTTCTCCTCTACTGTACTTCCAACAATATATCTCTGTGGAGTTTCAATTTTTTCAACCAAAAAGTGCATATTGTGAATGACTGAAAGCAGAAGGATTCTTTTAATGAAGCCATTTTTAAGATACACAATAAAGAAATTCACAAAAATAAAACATTTTCACTTTTATCAGTATTTTTTCTTTTAGAAAGCATTATTCATCAATGTTATTTATGTTAACATAAATTGAATTTATTTTTATTTTAAAATAGTAAGATTTAATATTCTGTTTTATTTCATTTAAAAAGAACAACAAAAAATACTTGCTTCCAAATAAAGTTCAGAATATATGATTAGTTTAATTACTAAGATGGCTCCACAAATTGCTATTGTCCAACAACATTTAAAAATATGATAATCTGCTCAACAAATGTTATCAATTATGATTTTTCAGAATTAATACTCTCATAAAATGAAAAGTTACAGAGTATATACATTTCCAAGCAGAAACTAATGAGAGATATTAATAGAATTTCTAGGAGAAATAATTGGAATTTTTATTTTTTATAACTGGGATCAAACTGAGGACCTCGCACTTGCAAGGTAGGCATGGTGCCACCAAGGTAAATCCCTGGCCTATGATTTTACATATTTCTTATGTATAGAAGACAGTGACCTGACTATTCAACTTTAGATTTCACCACCAATATATTTTTATGTGTATATATATATTTGTATGGTTGCATGTGCGTCCATCACTTACCTTTACATGGCAAATTGAATTTTCAGAAAGGTTCAAGTTGTCTATAAAATACTATAAACCTGAAAGTTGTTAGGACAACATTAGTGAAATTGTAAGCAACTATGTGACACAGAATATTAAATCCAACCAAAGCAAATCAGTTTATTCAAGATTTAATCCAATAAAATGCAGAATGTAAATTTAAAATGTACTAGAAAATATTAAACAATGCTGGTGGTAAAGTAAATGTTATAAAACATACAGTATAATAAAAGATAAGAGCAAGCATGCACAGAAGTTGCTAGGAAAATATGTCATCATCATCATAGCCAAATATCAAAAAACAACCAAATACATTTCCAATGTCAAAACAAGTAATAGTACAAAATCATCAAAGAAAAATAAATGATATCTGCAAAGGCTGAATTATTATCTGAGTAAAATTTGAACCACAGTGCATCCAAGATGTTTCAGGATGATTCAGGCAGAATTTTGATGATGTGTGTCCTGACATAAAAACACAACCAAGTTTTTAACATCCTCATAATAGTGATGTTAATCCATACTGTTATGTTTAAATTATACTCCAAAGTATAAATAAAAATATAATAATTGTACATACATATAGATTCATAATATGTTTCTATATAGAAACATCTACAAAATATTTATATATAAATGTATGGTATTTTTGGACTGCATAACGTTGTAATCTTAAATTCCTAGCCTCAACTGTGATTAATGTAAATTAACAGGTGAATATTTAGTAGTTCTGGGTGAATAGATAAGATTGTTTCACTCCTTGTCTGCCCAGATGGAATGTTTTGAAAACCTTGGGATATTCTGTAAGCATCTTTTAACCATCAACACGTGACTGTTGAGTATGTAACTGCTGACCACCAGCATAGACTAGCAAACCATTAACCTTTGCCCCCTGCCTACATGCTTTGAGTATAGAGCCCCCACCCAGCCTATCCCCTTATAAAAACAGCCTAAGCCCTTAAGCTGATGCCTCTCTGAGCTGCTTGGCTCTGGGAGGACCATCTGGCCAGACTAATAAAGGTCTGTTTCATTTCCAAATTGTCGGGGGTGTTCCTTCCCGGGTGTTTCTTGCAGCTGCCGCGCTCTTCAGAGTGGTAAAGTCGAGCTCTTCAGAATGATAGAATGGAGCTCCTTGGTGTGGTAGTAAGGCCCTTGGTCTTACATTTTGAAAGCCTTCCATGGCTGTTGAGCTCCTTGGAGTGATAGTGTAAGACCTAAAGTCTCACTTCCACTCCACGGAGAGTGAACAGCCAAAAGGCCTCCACGATGCTGAGTCCTATAGCCCAACGAGGGCTCCGGACACAAGAACAAGGGCCTTACTTCTGGGAGCCGTGAACAGCCAAAAGGTCCTCCACAATGCTGGGTCCTATAGCTCAGTGAGGCTCCAGGAGCTCGATGGAGGAAGGAGAATCACCAGGAGAGGAACACACCAATAAGAAAACCTTTATTAGTCTGGCCAGATGGCACTCCCAGAGCCAAGCAGCTCAGAGAGGCAACTGCTCAGGGGCATAGGCTGTTTTCATAATGGGATAGGCAGGGTGGGGGTCTATACTCAAAGTACATAGGCAGTAAGGCCTTAGGTCTTACAGTATTGATTGATAGAGCAGTACTACATAGTAAGACAGGCCCTTGCCTTGCCTCCATCTTTTATTTTTCCATAAAGTGTTTTGATCCAGAAATATAAATTTGTGCTGCTGGGCAGCACCCCTGCACAATATATCAAAATGTTTTGTAACCATCTGAACTGCATGACCTCTCAGGAATGTTTTAGTAACTCTGCTTCTCTCAGGAATGTTCTGTTAGCTCTGTCCTTCTCAGAAATGTTTTGTTAACTCTGACCTTCTTGAGAATGGTTTGTCAATCCCACCCCTTTCAAGAATGTTCTCAACTCTGTCCCTATGCTTCTGTGAGCATGCTCACCCAGTATGTCTTTCAGAAATGTTCTGTGACTCCACCCTCTGCTTCAGAGACCATAGTCACCTACCCTGTAGATTCCTATATAAGGAGGGTCCCATTTCTAGTAGAACCCTCAGACTTCAGAGTATAAACTCCACTGAGCCCACTCTCACAATTAAAGATTTTTCTCTACCATCAGATTCTTGAGTTTTTAAATTGCAATAGCTGAAACCCAGAGCTATAACACTAATCTTTACCACTTGGTTGTACCTCGGAGCTGTGGCATTTGGCTGTGGCACTTGGCTAGAGCACTGAGCTATTCCACTTTTATAAGATAACTGCCTTGATATGGCTGCCACCATTTTGGTTAGCAGCCACCATTTTATACCTTAAGTTTCCATTTCCTACATCATGTGTCATCATCCATAAGTGAAACTGATGTGCAAACAAAGCTTGTTAGTAGAAGGAATGGATCACAAATAATGAACCCTGAGTGGCTGCCCGCACAGCTGGTGCAATTCCCTGACCCACTTACACCAGCCACCCACTAATAACCAAGCCTCTTCCACCCAGCTCTCTTTCTCTTCTTCCTCCTTCACCAAATAGGCCACTGTGCTGCAGCAGCTCTACAATAAATCTTTCATAAGACCTCTGTTGGATTGTGGAGTGATCTTTGGCAGGTGCTGATTTCTTTAAACTTTGCTACAACAATATTAGTACAATTAGTAATATACATGTAAATGTATCACGGTCAAAGAGAAAAAAACATAGATAATGTGAGAAAAAATTATTATATTTAGCAGAAGACTAATTAGGATATAAAATATACAGATTCATCTGGCATAGATTCAAAACATAAGAATGAACAGAAAAATGTGTGATTTGCTATGGTTAAATTATCAAATTGGCCTGAGATGATGCTATCATTTAGTGTTAGAAGGATACCTGAGGATTTTAATTTTCAGGATCTCTGTAACCTCAAAGTGAAAAAGTCAACAGATGATTATAATTTCAGAGAACTAAGAATGGCCTATGTTAGATTATTGAATACACACAAGTGGCTACAAATAAATTCAAAGGTGAAAAATTCATAAATGTTATAGGATATATATGATAATTAGATTAAAATTTTTAAGGACTGATAATAGAATGACAATGGTATGAGAGACCACTAAAAAATGGAAAAGTGCAATTAGAATTTTTAAAATCCAGAACTAAAGAGGTGAATGAAGTAAATGTTACACAACATCGTGAATAATTATCTCATGATGGTGGCCATGAAAACAGAATTTTTAGGGTGTGTCTCTGACATCAAAGTGATAAGACCAACTAAGTTAACCACAAGTACACAGTACACTCAGGATTTTTTTTGAAATTTTTCAGAAAGGATAAGTCAAATAATTATGTCAGAAATGGATAAATAATGATGGAAATAAATCAATATTTAGTTACAATATTTTGAAACTTTCAAAAGTAAATGATAAAATAAATTCCATAAAAATCCTCCCAAAAGTAGAAAATAAGGACAAAGTGAATTGCCAAACTAATTTAAAGCTGGGTTTGAAAAATTGAAAATGAAAATTAACAGGACAGCAGAAAAGAAAAGATCATGGAATA